ATTGAGTTCCAAAGACATAGTAAATTCAATTTTGAGTTTTGAGCTTCGAGTTTCAAGATTTGACGAGAAGAGAGTCTATTTTTACGGGAATTGTTTCTCTGAGCTTGAATGTTCACTGTACCTGAAACTTTGTGGAACGTCAAAGTTAGGCAAACCGCACGAGCTTGCAAAATCTTAGACCAAATGCAATTTAGAGCACAAATTTGAGACATCTTGGAAGTTTGAGTTTTGGAGAGTTGAACGTTGAATCTTGCAGGGGCTATAATTTTGGACTGCAGTGTGAACGGGGCTTGGAATTTTGTGGCATTGTGAGGTTAGGCAAGACGCTGTAGTTTGCAAATTTACAAATGAAACGTGGTTCTAGAGACACATTGCATCCAATTTTGAATTTCAAGCTTTGAGTTTCAAGATTTGACGAGAAAAGAGGTAATTTTTACAGGAGCTATTTCTTTGAACTTGGGTATGCACAGGACTTGAAACTTTGTGGTACGTTGAAGTTGGGCACGGCACAAACGTGCAAAATCTTAGATTGAATGCAATTTGGAGCACGAAGTTGAGACGTCTTGGAGGTTCACGTTTTCAAGGAACATAGGATCTGGTTAGATCATCATCTGACACGTCTACAAGTAGAGGCAAGTAGAAAAGATCTTGCAAAAGTCAAAGAAACTCAAGATGCAGGATTTTTTTGCTTATCTCCGTGATGGACAAGCAATTGTCGCTCAACGGAAAAAAGAATCATCAACCTAGCAATCCAATAGCTTGAAGGTGTTAATGTGAAATATAAGAGTTCTTTCTACAACGAAGTATGTAAGTGCTAATCCAATATGGAAGATGGCGGACATCATGAGCATTGTGGAGACGTGAAAACATGAGAGCAACACTATTGGAGAGATACAACGGTTTACTTTGGTGGAATCCATTTGGAATCATAGAAGTCAACGAGCAAGAAGAGGCTATGGTGGTATTTCTATTTTCATCAAATCTCAGTTTCTACCTCTGATATATCTAGAAGGTCAAGATATTGGAGGTCAAAATAATTGGATTCGTCTTAGATTGGATGAAGTATCTTATAGTTATTTGGCTGTTTGTTACATTGGATCATTGTTCATGCCTATATACTCCACACGCACTTGCAGTCGGAATCAATCATTCCATCGACTTATAGGAGATGAAATCAATTTTCAGAGCAAAGGTGAAGTTTTTCTTGTTGGAAATTTCAATGCTCGAATAGGTTATGCACAACTTACCCAAATTGGTGATTTCTTGACTTCTCCCTCCTTTGAAGAACTTGAAGATAGTATGTGGTCTAGAAATTCTTCTGATACTTGTACAAATCCTTTGACGGATCACTTTCTAACCTTCGTAGCCACAAGTAATTTGAAACTTCTCAACATCATATCTCTCTTTTCCAACTTCCTTTCCAATACGTGTTTTTCTTCTATAGGTGTTAGCACTATTGATTATCTTCTTTCCTCGGCCACTAATAGCTCTCTTATTTCATAATTTGATATTCTAGAATCTCAACCAAAATCAATCATGCACATCTTTTATTTACTCTCTTATTGTCAAAAACAAACCCTCTCTCTCCATGCCATTATGTTTTAGCTTCTTCCAAGTGTTGTTTAGATCCTAATAAAAAAGAACATTACATGCCACATTTTCAAAACCTATTGACTCACACTTCATGGAGTCTTGATTCACATACAACGTGTGGTCAACTAACAGAGTTGCTCAAAGATATTGCTTAAGTTTTTTTTGCGGCACAAGAATCGAAGAGCTAGGGGTCTTCCTTGCAATGGATGGTTTGACTTTGATTGCAAGCAAGCGAGGAAGAGATCAGTTGACAAGTCTTTGGATCTACAAAATCGGCTTATCTTGACAAGACTTTACACAAACTTGGTGAAGTCTAAGAAATGAGCTTTTTTGAGGACGAAGCAGGAAATCTTGACAAAGTAGTTGATGAAGAATCCCAAATCTTTTTGGAAACGGTTAGCTCTACGGTCTTCTTAACATACTCTTGATTCCAAGAGTTTGATTGACTTTGCTAAAAAGCTTTATTTCTTTCTCGACGCTGCATAAGAGATGATGACTCAAGTCAAAAAATTAGCAAATGGTAAATTGGAAGATTTGAATGATCTGATCTCTCTATTGAACTTTTGAAGTGGGGATGAGATGTTATTGGACCAATACTCATTAAAGCATTAAAGAATGTTGCTATGTATGGTTTTTCTTCAACTTGGTCTTTACGGAAGATTGTTACTATTCACAAGTCAAGAAGGAAGGACTTGGTGACAAACTATTGTACTATCATGATGGGTAGTAGTTTTGCCAAGTTGTTTGGCAAATTGATGGAGTCAAAAGTGAGCAAATGGATTGAATTTCATCAAAAATGAGCGCAATTTCAAGCAGGTTTTTGCCCTACATACAACACCATTGACCATATCTTGGCCTTAGCAGAAGATGAAAGAAGTCGAAGTGTAATCGAAAAGCTTTGTTTTGTGCCTTCATTGATTTTAAGAAAGCTTTTGAAACCGTACCTCGTGAGCTATTATGGGAATGGTTGCAAGTCATTGGAATACCATCAGATTTTCTAGCAGCTGTGGCCACGTTATATCATTCTGTTTGAGTCAAGATCAACACTTATCAAACTGAAGAGGTTTTGAGTACCATTGGAGTGATTCAAGGTTGTACTCTGTCTCCTACACTATTTGGAGTTTTTAAAGATGATATTGAAGAGTGGTTGAAGGCATGTGATAATGAAGATGTCAAGAATGAAAACTTTGTTATCAAAGCTCTCTTGTATGCAGATGATATCATATTACTAGCATGTGATGCTCGGAACGCAATTGGGACCTGCAATCTATAGCACTACGTGAACGTCTAAAGGAGGAGTTTTTGAACATTATTTAAAGCAAGCGCGGCACCAAGATGCAGTTTAATCAACTTCATATAAATCCTATGCTTGTTTATTGTGAACGGTATTACCTACTTGCAGTAATCTCTACGTCCTTACGTCATATTGTTGCTAGAAATAGAACTGGATCTCATAGGCTTGAAATTGAGGAAGGACGTTGGCTTAATATTGATAGGAGTGAACTTATTTGTAGAATATGTGGCAGTGGATACATTGAGTATGAAGAGTATGTACTTGTTCTAGGTACGAAGACATTAGGTTTGCTCATAATATATATGTGGAAGATTTCTATTCTTTGTTACACTTAGTTATCTTTGATTTAGATTTTTATATTAGGCATATTATTAGTTAACGTTCTAGTGCTCTTGGCATTAGCTATGAATTGGTCGGTGGGATTCTTTTCACTTGTTTGTGGTTTTCGTTTGTATTGTAGCTTTTACCCTTTTGACCCCTGGCTTGGTCTATTACCATTTACTCTAAGTACTTGGAATTATAAAAGATAACGTTTTCTCACATTAAATCCGATATTACTCCCCAATAAATTTTATTTATCAAAATAATTTCCACCTCAAATCAACAATTCAACGATTGAAGATTAACATATGGCGAACATCAACAAACTAATAACTCAGTGAGTAAATGTCAATATTAGTGCCAACAGATTTTTTTTATTTCTACTTTTTGGTCAACAACTCCCTTAAATGGCCATGATGTCTAACCCATGCAATTTACTTCAAAACTAGAAACTTATAATTTATAATTATTTAATTAATTCCAGAATACCCATCACGTATATCCCGCTACTACCGAGATCAACTCCCATCTCCACTCCTTGGCATAGATCGGATACCCAGCGCCACTTTAAGGAAAGGACCGTCCTAATGTTGTTGTTGGATTTAGGTGCACTGATTGCGCTTTGAGAGTACGCCCATGAACTTCAAGTTCTCACTCGGTCGAAATATGGGAAACGTCCAATGAACAGCACAATCAATGCTTCCTGTTCAAACGCCCAACCTCATCGTCACGATAAGTTAAATTGACTCTTCCTTTTCTCTACAATCGATGAACATCTATTGTCTCAACGCAATACTCGTGAGGTGCTTCTAAAGAACAAATCTGTTGAAACATTAAGGACTCTTTTGTCCATAACATCATAATCTACCGTTGTAAATAGCGAATCATTTTTATCATCTTGATAATAAGCCCAGTGTTGAGAGAAAAAGAATCTCGAATGTATGAGAGAGAAGAAGACGCCCAGACTACCTAGCTGAAATCAATGGCTGTCAGCAAGGTATAATGTAGAGTCTTGTTGTCCTCTTTATTGACCAAAACGCGATTCTCACACTTTCCTATGTAAGTGCAGTTTTCGTCACTCTTCCTGGCTTGCACAAGTGCCGCATTCGGCTTCAATCTGTTCGAAAACTGGACAACGTTATTCTCAAAAAAATTCCAATGTCTATCTGCTCTACGACTTCTCAAGTTCAAAATATTCCAAAGGTGGTCGCATAGTCTATCCCCGCTCTTCTTCATGCTCGCAATATAGAAGTACCGATATTTTACATCAGTTATAGAACTAGGTGAATGCCTGCTCAATGTACAGACGGGAGTTTGCATGATGTTTTCTTTTTTAACACCCCAGTGAAAGAAGCTCGGATATGTATGACGGGAGTTATTACTTAGCAGGAAATGAAGTGTACATGGTGTCCAACATATTTCAAACGCCACCGTCAAGTGAAGAGAATGCAAAGAAAGTTTCCACATCAATGTCGGTGGGTGATTGAAGCCAGTACGAACTGGGTTCACTTCTTTCAGTCGCTTGATCCATCCGTTAGGAAGATGACCAGTTCACCGACACCACTTCAAAAAATCTGCTATTGGCGCTCAGTCGGTGGATGCGTGAGTTTCCGTTGAACCGTTGGAGAGAAATCCGTTAAACCTGACCACATGGAAGCAGGAAACTCGTGAATTTGTCCACGGATCGACGTGGGATTACAATGTGTTGTGAAATGGCAATAACATGGGCGTCTCATGACAATTGGGAGACTCTTTGCTTCAGGATGGCCGCAAGATAGGACAGACTCCAAGTACAAAAGAACCATTTATTTTTTATATGCTCCTGAAACACATTTGAGCTTCAAAAGCTTTGTTTATACGTCTGTGTGCTCTTCCTCTACTTTACTCTACCAACTCTATTTCCCGCCTACCCTCAAAGAACTACAAACTATCTTCCATCGAGAGATTGAGGGTACCAGCCGTTAAGGATCTCTCGATGAAAGGCTACATTGCCAGTGCAAAGACGCACATGTTTCATACACTTTAGACAAGGAAACGTCCTGAAGGGCACTGCGATACAGCGGGGATACACCTCAAGATGTACCCATAGCGTAATCCATTACTATAAACGTGTGACAGTAACTATTCCAAAACTAAACCCAAGCTCCCCATCCTGGAAACAACTGTGAAAGCCGTTCTGGGTCCTGGGCATCCTGTATCAATTGCTGGACCTGCAAGCAAGAATTTTGGCACATTGTTAGTGTCTATTTATATGCTTGAAATGTAAGCATGAATTGCTTCGACTATGTGAACGATAACCTTATGCTTTATGATGACAAGGGGAGTACGATTTCTTCCATCATTTACTTACTTGTCCTTGAAGACTTCTCATTTCTCCTTCTTCATACCCATCCAACTTTTGTTTTACACGAAACAAGGCACGAGCAGCATCTTTGTTACCCTCTGTCTCGGTCATATTGTCAGATTCAGGCAAACTATCATCCAAATCATCTAGTTCCTGCGACATTGCAAATGAACAACACAAGCAGTCTTCCATCAGATACATGCTGGAGCTTTGTTTCCATCTCAAAAAGGAACGTAGATAAAGGACTTCGTGAGGGAATTACAGCGCTGAATGCTAACAAACAACAAACAAACATACCTGCTGTCTCTGCAAAGCCTTCAGAGGTGACAATGCCCAGTTGTAGAGTGGATCATATATGAAGACCTGTGGCAATTTCAAATGTTTCAATAACGGAGTTTTTGATTTCTCAAACCAAAACTGAGCTGCGACGTTCCTATCAACATGACTAAAGACGGAAGTCTTCACATTCCATAGATCACCTTTGATGCATCTCAAGCGCTGATCCACTAAAGATAGACGACTAGCATGAAGAGCAACGAATCCAACCACAACTACAGACACATTTGCCTGCTCTTTACCTCTATAATGGTCAAAAGAGCTTCCTTGTTTTCACGGAGCACTGACAAGGTTGCCTCACATACTCGTCGGAATACACCTTCAACTCCCGTGACTCCCATGCCATCCACTATATCCCTGGTCAGGCGGAAAGGCACCTACGAAGGACGGAAAATCGATCTCAATTTTTGCTTGGAGGCATAGAATAATCAACCAACGAAATAACAACCCTTTCCATGCCAGATTCCAACTGAAAATACATGCTATAAATTGTGTCTGGTTGCGTACCCGTTCAGGCGTCTTCAACATTAGGCCCTGTTCGAAAGCGACACCCAAATCAATGTGCACGACTTCCGCAGTTGCTTGATCCATCAAGATATTTACCGAATGCCGATCCCCAAGTCCGACTATATATCCAACCTGTTGCAAAATTATCATTCGCAGTGAATATTCTGGTGAGGCCCAAGTTTGACAATACGCCGTCATTATCTACCTTAAGAAAATAGTGCGTCAGTAAATAGAGGAGTGAATGTGAGGATGCAAATGGCCTGGTACCATGGAGCTTGTAGCGACGCTCCGCGTATATGCTAACCGCTTCTCAAACCAGTTAGCAGCTTGAGCGAATTTCTCCAAGAAGAAATGATGCATAACAGGCCTGTTACAAAAACAGCTGATCAGCTTTTCACAATTCTGAAAAGAACACGCATCTATAATGAGACTCCTCCAGCATCTCTAATGATACTACTCCAGGAATTACATTCACAAAGGTACACCAGAGTTTTATATACAACCGATTGTCGAAGGCAAAGGCTTATCCTCACCTAAAGTTTTCACAGACGGATTGAAAGGCAGTCAATTTATCCTTTGCCTGTAAAATGCATCTTCGAACATCAGCTGACATCATTTTGACCCACGTGTGATGACTACCAACTACAGCAGTCCAAAGAATATGAGAAGGCCAAGCTAGAGAGCACTTACACGGACCTTTCACTAATCAGGACATTAGTCAGACGAGGATATATTCAAAATAAACACAGAATTCGGAGGTAACAATCCAGTCAAGGAGCTGAATTTCTTATCAATACTTCATGAAAGATGGCATAGGTTTTATGCGACTGCAAAAGGTTGCAAAGAACAGTTTATCAACAGTTTCAAGAGAACAAAGATAGAGACGGTAAGATTCTCACAGTGGACATATGTTCACGGCACATCATGAACGTCCAATCATCACCTCCATATCGACCATGGGCACCGCCAGCTCGAGTACTGTACAACGGGATGAATTTCACTGGTTTTAATGGGTAGTTTCCTCAAAGGTGGCAAAAGCTTGTATAAAACTTAGCAAGCAAGTGTTCACAACAACGAAACAAAGGAGTTATCTTGCCATATGCTCCTGTAGAGGGAGCGAAATTCAGATCGACTCAAAATCTAAACCTTGAGGGGAGTTTCAAGTTCTCCTTGATCTTCACAGTTTGAGATATCCGGCCATAAATTTGATAATCTTCATAGTGCATGATTAAAGCTAAACGATCTCGAAGCTTCCAAGTTGAGAGTCGTGTTAAGATGGGTAGATTTATAGCACATCGTCTGGAGTGGCATGAGAAGTAAAACGAACCTGCCAAGCAGGTATTCTCCAAGAGGTATTGTTCCGTTCACCCACTCTAACACACCTGCACTTGGGGTAAAGGGGATGACCTGGTACGTGAGGTTACAGAATCGTCAGTTAGCAAGACATGCCTTAGTAATCAAGATAATTACTTGGAATATCAAGTCACTGAGATTTCTTCTTCAAGAGTTGTACTGTAAGTAGGACGACATTCCATCATGAGATAGATCATTTCAATCAATCAAAATGCTAGACGTTCCGAAACCAAATAGAGAAAGAGGAATATTGGTTCTCGCAGACGTAGCACACAAATCACTTGTGAAAGGCAATGCCATGTGCGATCTTGTACCACGTACTTTTCATCACAAACATTCGTGGTAAAAGGCAAACGCGTCTAAGACAAAATGTGGCTGCTACCGACTACGTGCTGGATTTAAATATCACCTTATAAGTTCGAATCCCAAGATTCCTTTTCTGGGTATCTGGATGCTCTTGCAGGAGATTGTTAACTAGGCCAAATAACTGCTCCATAACCTGCGCAAGACAACCCGTATCCCAGGTCATCACAGCAGCATAGAGGCCAAAACCAGAAGAACGGCAAGATAACTCCAACTGTGTAGACAACTCTCCATTCCCATGCACAAAGTAAACCGATTTACGATATATTCAAAGCTTGACTCGATTCAGCAAATAAAGATGAGGTCATCACATGTGTGATGCAAGATTCACACCCAAAACGTTGCTGTTAACGATCAAGAATATCTTCTTCAAGTTCACTATATGAGAAAGGTAAGACAACCTAAGGATGCACAGAGTATGTAGTAATAAGAAAACATATGTTCTCTTATGCCCTAAGACTGGCAAATCCAAGCTTTTGCCGGCATATGAGGTTTGCTTGCTCTTAGTAAAATTCGTCATAATACAATGAATGCTGCACAAATTTACAGAAAGTCCAGGAGCAAGCATCGAAGAAGAACGCTCGCTCCGAAACTATATTCTCCAACACCACGGCACCTCTAATTTAGAAGCTAGTTTTTCACGGCAAACGTCCTATCTTCACTGCAGCTTCTCCTGTGATATGTGTGAAGTTGTCTCTTATCAGGACCCAAAATCCTCCTTTGGGCAGAGCTGCAGTACCACTCACACGCCAAATTGGCAGTGGGGTTCATCTTCTCGTCATCCATGTAGGATCGCATTGGCGGCATTTCATTACCAGGGTCTTGACAGGGAGGCTTGTTCTCCAAATACTCTGAACCAGAGGTCTCATTGGATCTAAAATAGTCGGTGTCTGCTTTTTGACTCCTCCCACTGCTGAATTTGCTTCGGCGAAGAAGTCCCAACTTCAAAAAGGCTCTTCCTTTCAAAGAGCTGCTAGACTCTTGATGGAAATCGCTGATTCTGTTCTTCTCCAAACATCTGCCTTTCTCCCTAGACGGCGCGAGGGGCAGAGGTTTATCTTTCGATGAAGCACGCTTGGACCTGCTTCTGCTAACCTGAGCAATGGAGTTGCTCAGTCGGTTAAAATCGAACGCAGCGGCAGGGGAGACTTTCAAGATTTTCGTGGGCGTCGAAGGAGGAGTTCGCGAAGAGCCCATCGCGTTGGTTCCAGACATAGTCTCAATTTCGAAGAGGTCTGAACTGGAATCACCGTCGTTATCTTCCCTCCTTTGTCTTCTGACAAATGTGGGAGGAGACTTCGATCTTTTGGCACCTGCAGCGAAGCTTGCTCTCTCCAGAGAATAGAATTTAAGCTTTTTATTCATGCCTCGTCTTGATCTCGGAGGGTATGGAGCGGTTGATTGTTGCATTGGAGATAAGGGGGAGGATCGAGATGGCATGGAAGGGAATTTACCTGGTGAGCTTGGGAGTGATCTAGGAGGGAGACTCGGAAGAACAATCTCATGGGCTCTTTTGGTGACGGTAGGTTCAACATCAAACGAGAAGCTACATCTGGGAAGCGCGAGGTCGTCAGAGCAGCTGCTTCTCGGGGAAGAAATATCCAAGTGCACTTGGACGTGACTTGAAGAAGCAGTTGGAGCAGATGATGGTGGAGGATGACTTCTGTAGGAGTGGTTCCTAGAACTTGATCTTAGATCTGTTATAGGTGGATCTTTCCAGAGGCCCCGAGGTTCTCTAAAAGGTGAACACTCAGAAAAAGACGAAGTGGGTACAAGCAGGCAGGGAAAAGTGAAGCTCCCTTCCTGATCGGAGGCGGTGTGCTCAGATGCAGGTGAAGAATCCCCGCTGTGAAGAATACGGGTCGTGAAAAAGCCGCTGTGATTTCCAGACATCTCGGGCAACTCCACATCACTCAATTCCAAAATCTGTGGAGTGTCTCTGCTTCCATCCGGTAGTCGGCTCTCCACCACAACACATCCTACAGGGATAGGCATCGGCAAGTCACTGGACACTTCATGCTTCTCTAAAGGTAGTGAAGACGGGGCATCGCTACCACTCTGACCATGAAAGTTAAACTCTTGCGGCTCTCCACCGTACTCTAAGCTGCCACCTTGGAAATTGAAATCATCCGACTGCTGGCGCACATCCCGTGTTTCACCGGCGGGCAGACAATGTTGTTGCCTCTCATCACAGCAGGCACCTCCGCAGCAGTCCTCGTCCTTCAGGGTGGTTTCAGGACTCATCGCTTCATCGTCATTGTCGTTCGAGGACAATGCCGTGCCCTCATCGCGTTGATTCGAGGACGAGCTAAGACTGCTACAGGGAACGTAATAATCAGCAGAGGACTCTCCTCCGCTTCCAGATCCTCCGGCCGAACTGGTTCGCGCAGCTGTAGCTGGTCGTCCACAGGGCCCTACCAGCGGAGTAGCAGCACCGGATGCTCCATCCATCCCTCCGGGTGCAAAGGAGAATCCGCGAAACTCGTCCCCGTCGTCATCTTCTTCTTGCAGCCGTAAGCTCGCGAGACCGGCAGCTCCGACATGTGCGCTCCTTTCGCGCAGATCCACAAATTTGTCGACCTGCTGTCCTGATCCCTTCCCTTTCGCGTAGAACGCTGCCCTTTGCATCTCTTCCTGAGCCTGGGCATCAGCCTCGGCTTGCGCCAGCACTGGCTCGCTCTCAGATTCCATGCACGACCGCAGGTCGTCGTCCGTGCACCCTTCCTCGCTCTCGGCCGGAACCTGGAACCTAACCATTTTCCTCGGCACTCGCTCCTTGGCCCCAGCCTCTTTGGCTGCTGCTGCAGATTTCCTCCTCTGTCGCCTGCGGGCCTTAGCCCGAGCTTGCACGGCGTTCAACACCGAATCGAATCGGTCATTCGAAGGAGTCCCATGACGGGACCTGTCATTGTCGCTGTGAGAAACCTGCGCATCCCAGTCTTCAGATTTCCTAAGAGGATCTTCCCAGTCTTCGGACTCGCCGCTTTTCGCGTAATCGTCATCCACATCTCCAGTATCCTCGGACAAAACCTTGGCAGGACTGGACGTGAAGCTCAAGCACACATCGTTCTCCTCTAAAAACACGAATGCATCGCGTGCTGCTGCCTTGGCGGCAGACTCCGCATAGGATTTGGCGACGGCTTCCATGGCATGCACGTCGAAGCCCTTGAGCAAAGGAGATGAGAGATAGGATGCGAATGAGAAGTCGCCAGTGCACATTTGATTCACGTGATGAACTCTGTTCCGTCCGCTCACCCCTCCCAAAAACATCTCTAGCGGGCTAACGTAGTTCAAATGCGGCGTGTCCCGCGACCTGCTGCCTCTCTTGTAAAAGAGCGACCCTAGAGCCCCCAGATCCCCCACATCTGCGGAAATTCTCGGCGTGTCGAGCCCGTAGCTGTAGCGTCCGCTGGGATTTGGGCTCTCGTACTGCTCGCTCGCAGCTTCAGGCGTGCAGAAGCCATCCTCCTCGCAGTTGGAGTGGCCATGACCTGCTTTCGACAAGCACACTCCCATCTTGCTCCACTCCCGGTAGCGAGTTGAGAAACCGCCCGCGGCCCACTGTCGAATCTCCTCCTCTCTACATTCACATCAAACCCAAGCTACACTCCTTCGTGTCCTCCAGAACCGCCCCCCTGTCGCGGACAGGATCGAACATTCACGAGTGCCCGGTTCGAGCTGCTCCTCTGCCTCCTCCTCCTCCTCCTCCTCTCACAAACTCATCTCGTCCACCTTTCCGGGCGCTCCCCGTCTCGCATCTCAAGAGATTCAGGAGGCGGCTCGGCCCGCACGGACATAAGCAGCAGTGCAGTCCTTTCTGGACAATACTCGCACTCATCAATCACTCGCTCGCTCGGCTCAGCTCAGCTCAGCCCAGCCCAGGCAAACCCAGCCCAGCTCGGCTCAGCTCAGCTCAGCTCCTGTGTCAGTGGCGGGTGGTGGTTCCAGTGCTCCTCCTCTCGTCTCCCCTCGTCTCGCATCGTCTCTCCTGCAGCTCCTTCGCTTTTTCTTCCCCTCCGTCCCTTCCTCCCTCCCTCCCTCCACCGGCGACGAGCGGGGGTCTGCGACTGCCCTTCCTCCCCACCTCCAGCGACTCATGAAATGCCAAGTAAGGCTCAGCGTTTTAGGGTCAACGGCTAAGAAGGCCAACGGCTATCAGCGCAGATGGAGAAGAAGACAAGCGAGGGCCCTGGAGCGGACGCCCGGCCGCATGTGCTAATCTGTCCCCCGGGCGAGAGGGGGAGGAGGGAGGGGTGCGGAGGGGGGGCCTACTACTCCAAAGCAAAAAGAGCCGTGCCTCTTTTCGGGGCCTTTTAAAATTCCTTCTATCCTCTCCTCTCCCCCCTCCGCCCTCCCCCCAATCGATCGCTCCTCGGCTCCACTCTACTCCACTTCACTCCACTGTTGCGGGCAGCGGACCCTTCGCCCCCCTTCTCCCCAGTCCAGTTACCGTAACAAGCGAGAGGGGGGCCTTTCGCCCGGTCCACATCCTCCGCCATTGTCGGTGTTGGTGCACCTCAATTCAATCACGTGTTTCGCCTTAAAATTTCAAATTCCTTGAAATTCGCGTCAGATGCCCCGTCCGCGAACCACAGCCGTTTGACTATTTTATTTTAAACCCCTGTCAGCCCCCATTTTACCTGCTGTGTGTTGAGGTTGAACTAACGTTCCCCGAATGTCCCCCAACCCAAAGGCGTTCGAAAACAGCTCATTTTAGAAGTTCTCTGCCACGGACGGTTTAGATTGTAGAGCGGGGAAAAGAGACAAAAACTCACCGCATCTTGGCGCATGTCATCATTTCCGGACTTCGCCAGTTGCCGGTACTTATTGCCATCTGATCCCAGACAATCTATGCACTTGGGGGCATTGATCCCATTCATTACTCTGGACACAAACCGTAGACGTGGTTCAGCATGTCGAGAATCGTTCCCAGAATACCACGCGAAAATAAGGAAACGACAAACGATTTCGACATTCATAATCTTGGATCGACATTAGCCCTAGAATATGATTAGCATGAGCTGGTCCTTACGTTATGCCATCCGTGAATCCTTTGAAGTGCACAAAACTTTCCGGAGAGTATCCGCAGCTGTGTTCCACTGGAAGACTTGCTGTTATCACAGGTACCTACAAAGTACATACAAATTTAGCCCGGATAAACTTCAACTTTTTGTTTCTCACTCCACGTGAGCGCGTCATGATGGAAACATTTCAACTTTTCACGTTTTCTCGTCCTCATATGGCTGCATTTACAAAACTTGAGTTACGGCACCAAATTGGAAACACGAGAAACAACATCTGTCCTCTCTAGATGTTGATTCGCGTGCATCATAAACTTGCAATTACGATCGGAAATATGTCCTTTTAGATGAGACGTAGTAAAAGAATGTAGATATCATACATACCAGCTCAAGCTCCTTCACACTCCGAATGTTTCTCGGAATGGGGACTTTTTTGTTGGCATCCTACAAACGATTAGCATTAGTTCGTACGATTCTCGATTTATAATCCTAATGCGAGATAGACGAATTATCACGACCTTACATGGTTCAAGATAGCATGGGAAAGATCATGAATGTAACCTTTTGAGTTGTTTCCAATTCAGCCAGTTGTATGTAGATCTCGATCATCTTCCTTATCTGCATCACCATACACAATTACATGCTTGTCACTTGTGACATCAGCACATTTATCGGGCTCACTGACTTGTGTGACCAATGGTCATGTATACTCGTGAAAGATAAAGGTTGAGGAAGCACTTTTAAAATAACTGCTGTTCGAACGTAGGACCTTCTGCATCGAAGCGAGCTACAACCTCCCGTTAAGTCTTCAACTCGCAAAATTAAGAGGAAATATTCCTCTGTCCAGGGTGAAATTTTGATGGAGAAAGTCGTACTGACACGTACCACCATCATTGCAAACCTAGCAATCACTATAAGTCCTCAACGCGGTGTAGCTTCAATGATGGGTTCAAATTTACACCTGTAAAAGTAGCTCGGGCTGTTTGGCTATCAGCTTGTCCAGCAATTCCTCGGCAGCACGTTTCTTTTCCATGTCCACCACAAAAACATTTTTGCCCCTCTGCTTTTCCTTGATGCGATCGCCGTTTGCCAAAGCAAACAGCTGCCACAATCAAATTCATCAACCTTCAGTAAATTCCATGTCCGATAAACAGCACAATTCCTGACTTTCTGTCTTTCTTTTGCCTCCTAGTCAAGTCGCGTGTCTGAAAGTTTCTAACGTCAGCATATAGGGTAGTCGTATCCGTCCAAAAGCCCCATTAGATTTGGCCATTGATGATCATGACTATTGGAAAAATGTCTGCACCGTGGCAGGCGGCAAACCTCATCCGTGTTTTTTTAGACTGGATAGAACTTGCCTTGTGTGCATAGTGGCATACCTGATAAAGACTATGATATGGATGATCCGTGGCCATTTTCTCCAGCAGCAGGGTAAGGGCAGCCTGCATGGAATCTCAGTCTCAGAAGATTGATAATCTGTGCTAGGTCGCCTGGACGAATCGACATGCTATAAATAGGGAAAGACGCCTGAGTCTGAAATAGCAACCACAAATGAACTGCTCATACAGGGCATTGACCATCAGAAATAAGAACTACTCGTCACCTGAAATCCGGTAGCTCCTTGAGATTCCTTGGAACTCCCAAGCCGTGATGCTATTTGATAAACTAACGGCAAAAATTTGTATGTCTGGACCTGCAGCGAAATTCAATAAAACACATATATTTCACTCAACACCGAGTAATAGAACGACTACAAGAGGTTCTTCTGTCCAAAGCAGCCGTCGATAAGTTCTTGTTACAAATCAATGACTGGTCTTGATTCAAGTAGCGATATTAATGATAGAAAGAGAAGATCTTTGAAACAGGCTTACAAACACTTTACATATAAAGATGAGAAAGATCTATATAAAGATGACAAAAACGTATATAACAGAAACAGTAACGTCTACCGCGGGAGTATAATGTTCGGAACTGAGCTTAGAGCAAGTTTGAAGTACCTTCTCAACAGTATCCAGCATGGCCTCAACAACATGCTCGAATGAAGAGAGGTTGAACCACAGTGAAACAAGCCGAAAAACCTGCATCAAGACATACGAAAACTTGCAATGATGTAACAGCAACTTTAATTCCAAGATTTACGTTCACCATTGTGTTGGTAAGAGATCAATGAGGCAACCCACAAATCATCCTTCTTGCTCGTCTCGCACATCTTTGAGACGTGAAGAATATTAGGATGTGCATTGTATTTCTCGCGAAACTCAAACAGAACTGATGGGGTGAACCAAATCGATAAGGATGTCTAGTCTTGTAAACATTCAGTAGTTGATAATGTACTAATTAGACAATGCAAAACGAGAAGTTCCATGTGACGAGTGAGGAGATTCAGAACACAGGCAATTGCAACTAACAACAAGCGGCCATTCTCAGGACTTCTGGACTGTTTGGACTAGGTGAGTGTATTGTTACCACTCTCAAATCATACTTGTTGCTGATACTCAAGCATGAACCATAACTTGTCAGAGCAAGAATCAAAAACTGATTTTTATCGTCCTGCACAGGAAAGCACCCACAGTTGTATAGAATGAAAGAACATCTGACCAGTTCAGACCATTATAAGATGGTAATTTCTCATATGCATGCGCTTCCACAAGCTTCGAACGATACATCTTGGCACTTCCTTTGATCAAGCAACACTGATATACTCAGTCGCCTTTTAGTGTCACGCTGTAAAGGGTTCCTTGTTCCATAGAAGAAAGAACAGAAATCGTCTTCCGCTCTGCTGCATATTGCCATAAATAACAGCAGGACTCCTTCATGTACATGATGCACGAAATACCTGTAGACGTTGAGCCTCTTCATTATCTAAGGTCAGCTGTCTGTGCAATTCGACAAACTTCATGGAGTACTCTCGCACTTTTGAAGGATCCTCTTGGGGATCAGCCTATAAAACAGACGCACATATGACACGACTTAAAACGCTATAAATAAAACACGAAATAAAATCACTTCATGAATTTTCACTTCTTTGAAATAAACTTTGAACTACATGAACATTCAGCTCCTATATCGTCCCACCCTTATTATAATAAGCCGCTTCTTCAAAGCTTCGAGCTCCCTAGCCTGCAACAAATTATTTACAGTCAAAAATCTGAGCCAGAAATGATTCTTTAGATTACCAAGGAATCGCGCACAAGCCAAACTGGAATTGGACAAGAAACAAAAATTAATTTTCTGAAGTTGATAACTGATAGAACTGACGAGATATATCTTCGAAAGTTACCTGCACCTACTTACTTTCAAGACTAGAACTATCTAACGCCGTGGTTTGGCCACAATCCCATTTTCATTACCTTGCACTGCATATTCGGAATCTGTTCATTTGAAGCATTTAGATTTTCTGTGTGAGAAAGAAAATAGGAAGGTCTGCATAACCTTGTGATGTCGCAAGCGAAGAGCTGCTTGCCATTCACTAGACATAAGTCGCTCCTGATGATTTCGGTAAAGGGCATCCGCATAGTGGGCTAAACGATAATGTGTTCGGCAACTTCGACTTGTTTCCAGCTGATCTCGAGTACAATCTTCCGAACTAGAAAGCTCTACTGCTCGCTTCAGATATGAATCCAAAATTGTATGAGAACTGTCAACATGATGAGAATAAACAGATACGAATGATGTTAGAGCGTGTCGACACACGATAGACAGGCAACGGAAATAGATATTAATTTGAACACCGTGAAGTAAGGAAGAGTCTACATTTGACTTTTGAAGAAATTCACGATCTAACCAATAGAGGATCATACATAGATGGTTCGTCATGGATATCAAAGGAACACCATCATTACCTGCTAGTTCGAGTTTCAGCTAACCACTTGCCAGTCAGGCATAAAAGGGGAGCTAAACTCCTTTCATCGGTCTTTTGCTGCAGCACGTGTTGAGCCAGATTGACAGCCATTTCTTGCTGGCCTTCCGCCCACAGTATTTTCGCCTCTTCGACCTGTTAAAGCGTGACTTGATGAAGTAATAGAAGAATAACACATGCACTAAATAACTACCTCAACTAACCAAGAGACAAAAAAACGTAGAATGTGGTACTCAAAGGTAAGTTGTGCAGAATTGTTGTTAAACATGAAGTATACTTCCATTTCAGAAGATGAGATATTGATGTGCTTGAACTTACTCTACCAGCCAGACTTTGAAGGGATATTAGTGATCTGGAGATCGAGTAGATATCAGTGTCTTCACTACGATGTAAATAGCTGCACAGAAGTTTCAACTCATGAATGGAACTTCCGGCATGATTCAGCCTGCCAGCCTGCAGATGTTACCGACAAGAAAGAAACCAGGAGTGAGTTCGTTACTTAAACTTTACCACAGGTTCTACGAAAAATGACAATCCAATCCAGCCAAAGTGTAATGCAAGCAACAGAAAGTATATGCTTCATGCTGAAACTTAACTATGTATCCACACTAAATCAACTGATATAATGAAGTAAATTAAGGCTTCTAAAGCTCGCCATCCAATTGTATGATTTAAAAGGGAATCGAGTGTCATTATTTCGACATCTCTAGCTAACCAAGACAATTTTTAGCAGTAACTGAGCTACCAACTATGACTGCTACAAGTAGTAACTAAAAGTTCGTACGCAACTCTGTATCAAGTGTTGGTCCATCTGGGTTTCCGACATCATTACAGTGGAACCGAAATTCATCATCACACTGAAAACGACCAGGAGCTCTTCACAAACCACATATTACACGCACCAATGTAAGGAAGCATCCACCACTACAGAACTATGAAAAAAAAAGTACTGCTGTAATTACCTTGCGGGCGAAACTAGAAAACTGAAGTAGGTGTTGAGGAATACATCTATGTAAGCCCAGCAGCTCCAGAAGTACTTTCCGAATGGCGATGTATGGTTCAGCTAGTTCATAATGGGCTTGCATCTGCTTCAAATTTTCTTGCCAAGATGCATCGAAAGACTCAATCTGTAACATAAGAACCAGCAGAGTAAACAAGGATATTGGTTACCCAATTTAGCTCCTTTTAATAATTGAATAGTTGATGGCACAATGCTTGCAACCCTAAATTAACATGCTACATATGTGTGCCACCTAAGGGTACCTTGTTGCCTCGCACATTCATGTTGTAATCGTCGGAAAAGTAACTACTTTTTAAATTGAGCAGAAGGAATCGACACTCCACTTGATTATTGAAACTTAGTGAAGATAAAGCCCAATGGAAATCATAATTTTAGTTAATTCATCGAGATCTCCATTGAGTGATGAGAAACAGATGCTTGTCATAGGACATACCTGCTTCGTGGTTGGCATGAGTGGGCCAGATATGCTGGAGTTTCGGTCTGTAGACATTCTCTCCGCCAAGGAGGCTTGTTCAGGACTATTAAATGTCCAGCGCATCTTCCAAGCTCGGGACACACAATCTAACATCTACTCGAAGAGAAGGAGAAAAAATATGAGCTCAGACAACCGTTAGCGTTGCAGCATCACAAGGTATGGGGGAAAACCTCTAGACGACAAATAAACCACATAGGCAATGCACGTATCAGGGCATTATGACTTGCCACAGTCAGGTGTATTCCTAACCACTCACTTCAGGATAGGATTAAGTACTGATTAAGATTTCACCAACAGACCAGAAGATGGCCTCCTGCTTACTTAAAAGCAACAAGAATGAAATAACTTTCTCATACATCCCCTTCTTTTACATCCATTCTTCTCTTCCAATTGAAGCTCGCAGCCCAAAGTTAAGTGATATACCTTGCACTCCGCCTTCTCTTCAACCAGACACATAAATCAGAAAATATAACAAAAACCAACAATCTACTAGCACTATCAGTGAGAGGACCTTCATGAGTAATCAACTTTACCTGAAGTTTGACTATCAAAGGATTCACATTTTGTGTGCTTTCTAAGCTTGTATGACCGATATGGCCCACAATTTCCTACAAACGAAACACGAAAACTCTCCTGCATCAGTACATGAAGAAATACTTCCGTGCAAAACTGCTGTATTGCCGGAACCATGTACATTTGAAACTCTAAGAACCAATTGATTCTTGTGCCTACAGAATATGTTCAAACAGTTCTATCTGGAGCCTTCTACCATCCTCAAACCATACTCACTTGCAATTGAGGAGGTTGAAGTGCAAAACGGACTAACGACCAACCTCAACAAAAGAACTTCAATTACACTGCACCTATCGAGGCTTCTAGGATATGCTATGGGGCAGGAAGCTAAACATGGAACAAAATATATGCCTCCTTATCACTTACACTGAAGACTGGTAACATCACTAACCTGTCTTGCCCGCTTTAAGCTTGAGAAAAAGACCTCTGCATCTCCTTCCCTGAGAGACTTAAAAGAGCTGAAGAGGTGCAAATAAGATTGCTACGTGAGAATGTGACAAAATGTGAGAAATCAGTTTAGTGCAAAGACCCATGAATTAATTTGAGAATCTTCAGATATAAATATATACAAGGTTGTACTTCGAATCTTGGTATTTTTCCTGATGACCTGAAAGTCCAAAATGGAAGGTACAAAGAACAATTTTACAAGTTTATATCCACCTGTGGAGATTCTCATGGAATGATAAGCCTCCATGAGATGTAACGTCAAATGTTTTCTTCAGGCTGATAGGCACTGCGACTCCGTAGTCCCACTTGCCAGTTCTCCATGCTTCTTCAAACTGCGAGAAGCTCAATGTTATCCACAGATCATTTTTGATGATGCACACACTTCCTGGGGGCGATCATGCGAGGGAAATATACTTGACCAGATCTGGATGTACGCATAGTAAGCAGCTAACTTATAAATACGAAGAGGAGAACAGACTCTGGGCGATTTCTTCGAGTTTGCACCTGGATCTCCTTAAACTCTGCATCCATACTAATGCCATCCTCTTGTTGAGATACCCCCGAGCTATACATATCCAGAACATGAGAACACCCCTTCTGTTGTAGAGATTTCATCAGCCCTTTATTGAGCTGCCATTTCTGATTTACTGCAGAAGTTGGAAGGAATGACTTCTCCACTGCCGCTCCAAGTTTGAAAACCTCACTAAAACTATCTACTTTATCTCCAGCACGGCCAGTCTTGCTGCTCCGCAGCAAAAGATCGTAGTTCTCCAAAGCCTTACTCCAGTTACCTTCATGCTCGTACCTCAACAGCTGCGAGCATACCTTTGGAGAAATAAAGACATACAAACTTTACTTTAAGCATTATCTATTTGGTCAAAATTCTCCAGAAATTCTCCAATACAAGCTTAGAAACTTACATACATTGTCTGACAGAAAATCCAATGCTACTGAAAACATGGCATGGCAGTAAACTCAGTGACAGTACCTTATGAGACCGGACAACACCGTATATGCCATCCGGTTCGTTTATTCTTGTGTAAACCCTCACCAGCAACTCCAAGTGCGCCGGCAGCTGTTTAGTAGACACAAAATAGCTCGGAGTCAATTCGCTATAACGACGTAGAAGGACCCAGAAGTCACTCTGACGGCTAATCATGGCGCGCAGACTGAGAAAATAGAAGACAATTATTAACAATCTGTCAAAGGAGTCAACATAAATGAGAAGAGATCTCAACAGTTTGTAGACTACTTCATTTCAGATTTTACTTCGAATGCTGGAAGTCAATTAGAATTGATCCTGATATAGAATAAACGCAAACAGGTATAATAATCCACACGTATTCCCGTACCTCATTGTCACTGGAAAAGTCAGGAGGACCAAGCGTAAGACTACCATATTTTTCTTCGCACCAATGCTCCACGTACAGAACTGAGGTGAAGTATGCAGCACATTGCTGCAAGGTTAAATACATTACATACAGGTTTAGTGAAAACATATCCACAAATCTAAATTTACACATGTGAAGATGGACGTAGGACACTTCTATATTAGCAGCAAAAACCGCAATGAGATCAAAGTGCAATGTATAGTTGTTCTACCTACCTGAGCAGCTTTGGCTGTAGCAAGATAATCGATGTGAAGCCAGTAAACCTGTATACATGAAGAAGGCATTTTAATATGACAGTTATATTACATTTTATATAGGGAGCCGCTAGTCACCACTCACTTTTCGCTATTCACCACTCACCCCCAATTTTAAAGAACCCCTGCGCACTTTTCTCGCGCTCCGATTGGCTGGGTGTTTACAATGTCAAGCAAGCAGAGCGCCTGCGCATCCTGGCTGGTCGTTCTCCGCTTGTTGCTCTGCTTGACGGCCTCGAAGACCGCCCTGATGCGCCTTATTTTGCTCAGTTTGACGGGGTGAGTGGTGAATAGCGAAAAGTGAGTGGTGACTAGCGGCTCTCATATATTTATTTATTTATTTATTTATTTATTTATTTCTTCAACGGGAAGCAATTTTCGACAACTGCAGGGATCCTACAGTTCTAAACATTCCATGAAAATAGTGACACACAGTTTAACAGAACTACGAGCATGGTGAACAATCATCGGTCATTATATTTCTACCGGAGTCTGAATGACTGAAAATTTCAAGAACAAACTTTCACATCGAAAGTCTACCCTACTTGAAGAACATACTACCTTATTCCAAACCAAAGGCCCTTGCTCAAGCTGGCCGACTGCGTTGTTATCCGTGCTCCCAATTTTCTGACAGCTACCCGTTGAGCTCTTTCGCCTTAATCTACTTCCTCCACTTGTCTCAGGCTTTTCCAGCTGCCATACGGAATTTTGCAATCGTCATACTAGAATCAAATCAGCACGGAAGTTACAGCATTGATCTATGACAGAAAATATAAACTAATATATCTGTTGTAATTCATGGAGTCATCTTCGAAAATCACCAAAGTACGCAGGGAACGCCAAATAATGAAGACATCAAAGACTTCTCCCACAAAGAACTTAAGAATTTTCTCCTAGGAGTAGAGACTTGATGGCTTTACCAGTAAATAACTTCCTGCAATTGTAGCTGCTCAAATGGCTATGATGTTCATTTCATTGTAATAGAAATATTATCTTTTCCAGGACCAGCCAAGAAGAGGTTTCCTTATCATTCATTAGGTGGAAAATCATGCAGAAATAAATTTCATGTTTACCTTCGAGTTTTCTCGCCTTCTGGGAAGGCCTTGCACTCTTTTCAATCCAGCCTCAATATAACATTGGCGCAGATTATTGAGCATATTCAGAAATAGCTGTAGTGATCGAGTACTTTGGTTGGTATTATTGAAAACATGCTCTTCAATCTGCATAGAATATTAATTATTGCACAAAGAACAAAGTTAGGATGATTGAACCACGACCAACCCAAAAAAAAAAAAAAGCGGCAAGAGTAATGAACAGAATAAAGCTGATTACCTGATTCGATATATGGGTGCAAAATTCCACGCTAGAACAGAATTTTCCAGCTAAATTCCCAAAGACGTGAGGAAATACAAGCTCCGCTAAGGAAGCTTTCATAAGTAGCATATCTTGGCATAGCCTGTAGACAGAAAAGTTGTCCGAGCAAGCAACGATAAGTTAGAAGCTGCTAGTGCAAATCTACTCGTAAGAACTCGTCTTAAGTCAAGACACCAAATACTGCGTCGTACAACATTTTTTTCTTTTAGGTCGAGAAAGATCTAACAGCACAGACGCGTATGGCAGCCAAGGACATCTAAAGAAGCGTTGTTAACAGCACAGTTCACATCAAGATTATGTTGAGAGCATGCAGGTCAAGGAGAGCGAACATGTCATACCTCAGAATAGTATCATCTGTGTGCTCCACTAATGAGTATGTCAGAGTACAAACCCACGCATCGTAAGTCTTCCCTGAAGTTTCCCACAGATTTGCATCACCAAGTGGAATAGCTGTCTCTGTAAAAACAAGATAAAAGCAATGCTTTGAATGAAGTGACCCAATTTAACGTGAGGAACAGAGTTTCTAAAATGATATTTTGGATTAAGCTTAAAAATCAACAACAAGTTCTGATAGCGCAGACCAAGAAATGCAGTGAACATTCGACACTGGATTGTAAAACATTACCGGTTGACTGCCGCTTTGCAGCATCTAGCATATCTGCCGCCATTCTAAGATTTACTCCTCTGGAATACATCTGCAATATTTCATGGCATTTCCTGGATCAGCTTAAACGTCAGCAGACCAACTACTGTACTTGCTTATAGGTAGACATGCAGATTCCAGGAAGAAAGCAGATCGATTTTCTCCCGAGTATGCTCATGTACTATTAGATCGGTATGGTGGACGGAAATAAGAATGAACAATTAGATCAGCCACCACACTAACGTGGCATACATCATTTGAATGATTCGAGAAAATGGAGTTACATCTAGGCTACCACTGATTTGTTAATAAAACTTCTGTTGTTCATTTCACTCAAAGCGTCTCTGAATAACTGTTTCAAGTCGCTAGTTTAAGATGTCAAAAGCTCTGATGTACAATTTAAAAACAAATTAATTACCTCCAAGTAAGTTTTTTCCTTCGTATCCATGGATAAGAAAACAGTCTGGCCTCTTTCGGTAGACAGCACACCCTGAGTGAAGAATTGAATACTTGTCAGATACATCATAATTCTAGGTGATCAAGTTTCCCAAAGTACAGAGATAAAAGCTTACGAAAGCAACAAATTTTCCTTCACTGAGGGAGGTCAGAGATTATCAAAACCTTTAGAGTCTTGTACGCCAGCTGGATGACGCCAACGTCGGAGTCAGTCAAGTATGATCGGAGTTGAAGTACAATGCTTTTCAAGAGATCATCTGACAATCCAAGTTCCGGATCGACACTAACGTCCTTAATATGCCGCGTTTCCATTTGGCTAACCGGTGATTCGTGAAGGAGGCTCGTATGATATTCATGGATCTTCTCAGGCAAGTGAAAAACCACGGCATGTGGATCTCCAACACCCACCTGATTTGTACAGCAGTATCAGCACCTTCTCATGCAGAACACAAGTTGGCCCACTCGCACTAGCAAAAAATATGTTACATATCTATAATGGTACATCTTGCTTGAAAAAACATATGACTTGACAATCTCATTGCAGAAGGCGAAGTCAGCTTAGTTACTTAGCATCTTTCTGTATCCTCAATCAAATAAAGCTTCTATAGTTCAGCCTTGATGGCATGGTCTGCCAGATGTCTTCGGGCAACTTAGCAAATTTACAATCCAACTTACTGCTGCCAAAAATTCACCAGCGAGATCATTCAATTGCATCTCATCATCCCTCTCACAAAGGTGTATAAGTCGCCACACAGCATCAACCACGAGAGGACTGCACCGCCAGTACTCATGTTTCTGATTTTTCTGAGATATATCGTAAAGTTCCATCCGTCTTGTACTGAGTTTATCGCAAAGATTCTTAAGGCTGCACAGAAACAAGAGCATTACCTCTAACAAAAATTTGAATAAATCATAATTATTTCAGGGTACATGATATCATGATATCAAAGGTAAATCAACATCAAATGTCATGTTAATCAGAAAAAATGCTTTCCGTTAGGAAGGTGCAGGATTATCACCTGCTCACACAGTCCTTGGTTGAAAGTTTAGGAGCTCTTCTTACAAACTGCCATAAACATTACAGCGGCAAATAGTCAAACTTCGTACTACTGGGTCATCATCGTTACTATTCACTCAACGAAGTATGGCGTTTATAACAGTTACAATAATAAGAAGAAATAATAGAAGGCCTGCTTTCGGTGACAAAGTTGGTCTCCGTATGTTGTTTGCTTGAAATCAAATGTTTACCAGGAATAAATCCAACACAATCCCATTACCTAGTAAACACAGCAGGGTTGCAAAGGACAAACTAAACTGCAATTAAACACACCTGTACAAACTCTTCTGCTAAGGTGTAAGTAAAGCTCAGCTCCTCTTGGAGTGTCCGCATTTGCTCAAAGCAAGGCATGCTAGGAAAAGGATCAAGGTCCTGCACAAATAATATGTTAATCTCAAAATCTTCAACAGATACTGGGCGCAAACAACTTCAGTAAAAAAATGTATGCTTGAAATTGCCATTTGTAGAGCAATTCAACCATTCATATACTAACAGCTGAGTTTTCTATTCAGCAGGTCAAATTTTGTCCATTCTAATGTGCATGATCAAGATCCTACCTTGATATAAACGTGCAAGGATTCGTTGGCGCCGACTGTCAATTTTCGGAGCAAAGCAATTACTGAGCTGGATGACGTTCTAGGATCACCGTTGATGGCTAGCAACTTGTGAGGGCTTGTCATCTTTTCAACAGGCGTTTCTCCATTACGGTACAAGGTAATGCAGAAGGAAACGAGTTTTGACACAATAACCTACAGTCAAGGAAAGTAAAATAATTCAAACACAAGAAGCAGGCCAACCGCTAGGAGGAAAAAGTTTTCAATGATTCAGGGATTCGAAAGGCAAGGATGTGGAATACCACTACGTCACGTATTCCACAAACCTACCTGAAGCTGTTCACCAAGAATCCGAAAACATCCTTCGACACCAGAACTGTACAGTTTATCTAGCAAGTACGCCAGCGTCTCACAGCAATGTCTTTGCAGATCTTCAACCTCCATGGACTGGAGAATGATGAGTATAATGTAACTGTACGCAATCAGGACTATGTTAGGTACTACGATGTAAAACAGGCCAGAGATAAATAAACCATGAATAATGCGACTTTTGAGAATCCGACAACGTAAGGTCCGTAGTTGGTAGGCTTATAGAACCTTTCTCTAGTTACTTAATCACACAGAGACATGAATCTTTTCACAGTTCATTCAGAGTGTACTTCAATTGAATTATCATAGAATATCTCTTTCTATATGTCCAGTCGCCTGTATACGACAATCCTGTAACACGTAATTAGCATGCCTCACTTGAATACTTTCCCCACATTTATTGCTAACATAACCTGCAAACTTTGCTGCTAATGAAGGGTTTGCTTCTTCCTGAGAACTTGGCAGTCCGAAAAGATAAAAACGCTTAAGCACTTGAAAATTTACTAACAAAGCACTTAACGCAGAGAAACGCAAAATCTTGATGTAGCCATGGAACAGGATTCTTATTTCATTGGGACAGAGCACGATCATCACAGTTTCCTGTGCATACACGATTACAACAGACCCCAAAAGTTGAACAGCATCCTACTAAAGAGTCTCGCGTCATTTAAAATATAACTTTATGATATTGAACCTCTTACCGGCATGTACTCGGCACACAAAGACGTAAATCAAGCACCTCAAGCATCGCTCTCAGACTAGTCAGCATATGTACGCGATGGCGTGGATGGCGTGCAGACACCAGATCCTGGTGTAGTTGAAGAAGAAACTGAGAAAGCCAATGAACATCAGGAGAGTGATCGATAAACTTCCGATATATACTTCAGGCTTAACTGAACAATCACTGGACACTGAAACAAATAATCTTGCCAAAGTATCCCATACTTTGGCAAGACTTCGTATGGCATTTCTTTACCTGTATTGTCCCATTGTAGAAATTTCTTCACTTTCTAAGACATGACATTTAAGTTCCTATAAGTATGAACCTACTGTCAACGACCTTCCTAGTCCATATAGTCAACCTGACGGCTAAAACTTTAGTAGTTTGTGTACACATACCAAGAACACCCGATCGGCTCTAAATATCTGCATTTTATCAATCAATTTGTCGTCTTGAGATACCTGTTCGCTGAACTTGTGAACGAAACATACCCACATGAGATCCAGAAGTTTTTTAAACAAACCTCATAATAAGGTACACCGAAAATAGCAAGAAGTAGAACGATAAAGGCTTCTTCAAAGTTTTTTGTCCTTTTAATCAAAGCATGAACCTTGGACTTAACCCCTTAGATTCGCTTCAACTGGTTAGAAGTTGGACACAGTAGTTTTGTCAAGTGCTGACCTTTCCATAAAACCATCCACAACTGTTTTGACGGAAGTGACAACTGTTTCTTTCGTAAAGTAAGGCCGTACAGGCTTTTCTCGTGCACTGCATAACCCAAAGAGAACGCATACAATTGATACCTGATGGAAAAGCATAATAGAATGTCAGGTTCTTTTGGTACGATGTTCAAATAAGGGACGTTCCGAGCTTCACAACCACCAGTCATCTTTCAGTAAACGCTTTCCAAAACCATCAAGATGAATTTCGGTAGAAACTTCACCATTTGTTTCTGAATCAGCTCATCTCTTTCATCTTCTGTGATATCAGCCAGTGTTAACATAGACACTTGAAGAGCCACAGCTGCTCGTTTCTGGACTCCCTTGCTGCTACCCAAGTGCAGAGGTAAAATGCCAGCAAAAATGGATACAAAGTGTTGTTTCACCAACTCAGGAACCGACAATGAAGTGGCCTGCAAAGCATGATGGAGTAGGGTCATAAGCTTCTTGCAGTGCCAAGAACATTGTATTGACAGACAGTAAATAATATACAAGGAGCTGTTTTACGGTTGAATATATTCAATGCAAAAATAAGACGATGGTCTAAAGGTGCCTTACCGCTGCAAGCCACGAAATCTGGTCATTCCGTTCAAAGTATACGAGTGCAGGTAGCAACCAGGGACAAAATTGTTGAAAAAACTCTTTGGTATCTGAGCTTTCAACGAGCACCTCTCGTACCTCACAACCAAAGTCCGAGATATCCATCATTAATTCACCATCATACTCAACCTTTGGCTGTCTTATGTTGATATCACTCGCCCATTAAAACTTCATGTGACAGAAAGCAAATGAGGTCCTGCCAAGGCTGACTACCTTGTGAGAGACAGAGATCTCTAATAAGGTACAACCACATCTCTTCTACTCTAGGTAACAAAATAAAGAAACACTTTTTTTCACAGTGATAAATGTGTACGAAAGAGATCATCAGTTTAGCACATAGAATTTTAATCACCGTACCTCGAGCAGGGCGGAGACGTCGATGTTTGCCATCACCCAATATGTAACAAGCTGTCCTGCTAGTTGCTCGATATACTGTGCTTGAATGACAGGCAAAAGAGGACACATAAGTATAAACCTTACCAACTTACTGCATACCGTGCGAACTAAAGTACCATGCGTGCAACATCCGCCGTCATGTCTTAAGACGTGCGTTGAAAGCTGCACCGTTTTTCCAGCTTTCTTCTCTCCACCTAATTGTATTGCAGGGCAATTTAAGACCAGAAAAGCACCGTTCCCGAAGTAAGCGATCGTCGACCGAAAATTTGATCAAAGCTTTTAACATGACCCACCTTCCATCTATTTGGATACTTCAGCCGATTTGCTACCTTGTTTATAATGGAACACCCGAAGTCTCTGCTGAAAGCAAGTCGATGAGTTAGAGCAAAGGTTATCGAAAAAGTAAAAGAAGTCAACGCTGATAATAGGAAACACAGATGCACACTTACTAGCATATAAAATCGGAAGGTTTTAGAGGAATCGAGCATACCTAAGTTGAGGATTTGTGGCAAGATGTGCACATATCATGAAAACAACCTACAAGAAGTAAATTTCAGATCAATGCACTCCAATGTTGATTACGATCCTAGCCAACCATTCGAAGCAACCCGGTATTCCACTAACTTTGTGTGATCCAATTCTGAGATCAGACGCACACCACCACTAATTGGAGTTTACTTGGTGCAGAAACAATGTGAAAGCGAAACGATCTAATAGTTTCTAAAAAAGAAAAAGTCTAGGATGAATGATTTTACATTGCTCTCTACTTTTTCGCTTGATATTGCGATTTCTCCCAGACTAAGTAAGGCTGTTTCTGCCATGGCGACTTGGTGTGGACTTCGAATGGTCTCTCCAGCCACAAAACCGTGGTCGGCACTCATCGTAGCTATTTTCACTCCGAAGCTGGTACTGGAGGTTCAGACGATAGAAACACTAGTTTAGAAATTTCGAGACTAAACCTTTCCATAACAAAAACCAGCTGAGCAGACTGACCAACTACCTATATATCACCGGCGTTGCTGAAACATGCAGTGATAGTATGTCAAATATTTACTCTTACCACACATCCGGAAGTAGCTCATCGTGGCCATCCCATGTTTCAAATAACACAGCCACTCTCCTTGATAGGCATAACCTTACTTGGTATTCAGAGTCATGTAGCAGAACCAAAAATTTCTCGATCAAAACCTGCAATTCATACTTAAATTATGCTGAGTGAGGAGAAACAGGAGGTGGGTTCAGACCAGAAACCATAGACCAGACAGTGGAAACTTGTAGGGACGACAAGTTGAAAGAAAATCATATCTGAAAGATTTTATCTTCAAAGGATGGCCTACTTTTCTTGCGAGTTTAGCTCAATGCCAAGGTTTTCTGACCTGAGCTGCATTTGGATCGAGAACAATAAATCCGGAAAGTACTTCAAGAAGCTTCACACGAGTAGACCAAAATATTAGCCCCATGTCAGCAACCTTTTCGATCAATTCCGCGATGTCTGTCGAAACCTGCAACAAGAAAGGGAAATGAGAACATTGCATAAGAAATAAGTATGAGGAAAAAATAACCACAAAGAAGAGGAATGACCATGATTAGCATTTAAAACTGGTTGGATTCCACTGTTAATATACAGATAGAGATAGAAAAAATCGAAAAATCACACTCATAATCTGGTTGCCTAAAAGTCGATGTGTGATCAAAATGTGTGTAACAATCATCAACTGCGAACACATAGTAGAAACAAGCAAGCTATATTCTTCACGAAAGATCCACGTATTGCAAGTTTAACTTGAATCAATACCTCCTCAGAAAAACTAAAGTTTCCCTTGGCACCCATATTTCCACTTAGAGGACAATTTAGCTTGCGCTTCTCTGAACCCAGCAGACTGTTAAACAGTCCATCCAAAGCCATAAGAACAAGGCAGCGAGTCGTTTCACTCTGCAAACACTCTGGTACCAAATCCTGTATCTTGCGAACCTGCAAGAGTGAGAGTTGTTGTGCATCAGAGGCTTCAATTTTCATTTGTTCAGTCATAATAAACAGCCTTCAGAAGACAATAGAATCAATTCAGTTGCTGCAGAATTCCCAGCAGGAAGATTTTGAACATACCACTGCTGGTAGGTATTCGGGAGTTTTAGAACTCATCATTTTGCATAAGCTGAGAAGAATATCTTCATGGACCTAATCAGATTTCACAAAGAGCGCAAGCCTTTATTATCCATGAAACGAGAAGATAATGATTGCACAGCTGAATAAAGAACCATTATTGTTAGATTTAGAAGGAAAAAACACCAAAGCACTTGCCGACCTTCATGCAACCTGTAAGCAAAGTTTCAAGAGTCTATATTTTGACTATTACGTTGTGTATACTAGCTTCATATGTTGTCGTCTGATTTAGATATAAAGCCTAAGATGTACCTTAGGATCCTCCTCATCAAGCAGCAAGTCCATCAAAGTGGCACACGTAGCGTCTGGCAACACTTTGCCGATTATAGCAACAAATTGTACAGCATTGCTTCTCCAGTCTCCATTCCTTTCGCGTATAATACTCGTGCAAAGACTACGTGTTGTTAACTGTGTGCTACTGATATCACTCATGGTCCCTCCACCGCCAAGGCCAGTGTCTGTATTTACATCTAAGTCTAAATCCACAATCCTTTTACCACCAACCGTCTCCTGCGAAGGTTTTTCAAAATCTATGGTAATTGGAACCACATTTGCACTATTCACAGCTTTGTCGGACACTGATGCGACATTCTTGGCCACAGTAAACACTTTACAAGCGGCCTTTAGGAGCTTTTCTAGAACAGGTTGTGAAACTCCTTGACCCTTTGGATTAGATACCACACCACCAGTCGCCACAAATGTGCAGCTCCCGGCATAGGATACGTACTGTTGCAAGGTGTCGAGACTTGAAGAGGAGAACAGATGGGTTAAAGTGCTTCTTTGAGCAAGGAGGGCACATGAATCGGCAGTAAATGATCCAGAAATCTCGTAGAGATGTTTCACGCCTCTGTCGAGAATGCTGGCTAATTTAAGCCAAAGAGCTCCTTCAGGACTCCATTCCGAGGGTATTTGACCTCTGCAAACATGACATATATTTTGCATAAACAACATTGCGGGGTTTAAGTGCACCAAACAAAAGACACCACAAGTGAAACTAGGCATTGAAGCAACTGTCTGCCAACGAAGCCCATCAACGGTAACAAAGCCAATGCTTTGATTATTGCGCTCCATATCCAGTGCTACAGCTGGTAAATGGAATCTCTTCGAATGGTCCTGGTTCCAAGATGAATGATGTTTGCCAAAGTAAGAAGCGATGTTTAAAACATTTCAACATGTAATTCAAAACAATTTACCAGGAAGACACGTAGATTGCCATGTTTCAAACGTAGATAGAATAACAAGCTCACCTCCTTTCAGTAGTACATCGTACACCCTCGATGCAGATTGCAAGAACAGAACTTAGATGCAGTAATTGGGCCAGCGTATAGGTTTGTGAGACATCGGAAGCCACGACAGCATGCCTGAGAAGATGATCAGCTGTTTTTCCCAACAGAAAATCACTGATTGAGGGAGGTAACTGGATCTTGCTCGCGATTGATTGATCCTGTACTGTCACGAGATTATTCATCAAGTAAGAAGCTAACTCACGGCATTAGAGGTAGTTATTCTGAACTTTGAGATAAACCTACAGGAGCAAATCTTCCAAATAAGTAAAAACGACACGATTCAATATGGTTCAATCGATCACTTTTAAAGCCCTGTGCGTTAATGATATTAAGAAAGGACCCTTGTTGAAAAGACATCCCAGCTGGGAGTAGGTAGCGTAGATATAGAAGAAGACTGAACCTGTGGACTAGCAATATCTTCCGTCCCTACTAGTACACTGTGAGATCGGTCAAGCGCAGCCAGCTCCATTTCCTGGCCTCTGTCAGAATCATCAGCCTGCATTCACATCCATGTTCACGGCTTAACTCAAGAAAACATATACGAAACAAGTAAATCAGCGCCATTACTGTGCTAACTTCAGCCTTTGGGTATACCAACCCTGTACAAAACCTATACTGTTAACTGCAATAATTCAATGACTGTTAGTGCCACTTCTTACAGCACTAGGCTGAAACATGTTGCAAAAGACAGGAACCTCAGTATGGCACTTTGATCAGCTGGGAAAGAGTAATATACAACATTCCAGTACTGCAGCCACATATTCAGAAAAGTATTCGGTAGAATAAGCCATTTAACATACCTCCAAATATGGATTTGCTTCCAAACTTGGCCAGCTCAATTCTTTCTTCATTTCTTGTAAAGTGTCTCGGGCACCTGAGCTCCCAGATATGACACCGAAGGCTAGAGCCAGCACAGCAGCACTAAGCAGCTTGGGCGAAATCTGCTCCCCAAAAAGATAGCGTGTTCTGTGCACATCCTACAGTAATCAGAAGCAATATTAGCTATATCACTTTCAGATCGCAGATGACAATATGATGATCCGAAACAGGGATCCGAAAGGGAATGAGCTGATGTATCCCTTCTTTTCAGGACAGATAAGAGGCTAAAGACTGACATATCTGTATTATTAGCTGTACAGTTTGACGTATCACTTCTAGTGTTTGGAGTTAAAATAAGAAAGAGAACTTAATTCAAAAATCACTCAGGAACGGTTGAATTCAGGCTCATTTGATAACATTTGGCGAGCTATTTGTTCCTAAACTTATAAGAGTGAGCACCAGTCTCCCATCATATAATCTGAGAGCCTCTGGTTTCTGACATTAATATTACCTGAGCTTCTAGAGAACTCATACACCAGTCAAGGAGTTTTCCTCTGATCTTCACATCATTGGCAACTATCTGCGATCACAACACAATGAACGAATGCCTCTCGTTCACACGAAGAAATATTTGAAGGAAAAGATTACAGAAGAACAGTAACACATCCTATCCAGATCCTACAACCGAACAATCTTTCACAAGTCACAGTAATTTTTTTGTGTAAGTACACTACTAGATTGAAAGAGCCGGACCTGTCTAAGAGATTAACAGTGAAGAATGAGTACCTGTGAGGAAGTGGAACCAAAAAACGCCGCAATGAAGAACAACAAGTTCCTGCAGATGCAAAAATTTAAACTATTTCATTACTTCGAGAAAACCGGAACAGTCCTGATTTGTCCTGATCGGCAAAAGTAATTTCCTTGTCGCCAGAAGAACGGAAAGACTATTCTGCAGCAGTTAGACACTGACCCTGAAGGCACTTCATCAAATCGATGAATCTCCCAGAATTCATGAGGTAGACTGCATATAGGTACCACACCCTATCACCAGCAAAACCATTTGTGAGTAAACTGCCAAAACTTGATATTCTCGATCTAAGATCAACTGATGACATGAGCAACACACACTTGTCATGAACCCTGTTTTACTCAGGAGATTCTTACTTGGGCAGCGAGAACACCAAGCAAACGAAAAGCCTCCTCCACCTGCGAGACAGTAAAACGATGGGAACCGGGTGGGAACCGGATACACACTGTTGTCGCCTATATGAAGTAAATCACGTTGCCAACATGCCGAAAAAAACCTAGTTCCAATGCGTCTCCATTGAGAAAATACTTAGTACAGAACAAACTGGAGGTTTATTGTTTTCGAGCAACTTCGTACCATGACTTGCTCATTATTCAACAATGGCAATGAATGCAAAAGTGAATTCCATATCGAAGACCACGCAATTTCAGCTTTCACTCTCTGCGCAGACAAACGATATGAAAGGATCATAGCCAAACATCCGTGACTTGCCAAAAACATTACAGGGCTAGAAAGAACGTTTCTCATCATAACGTGTTTTTAGCATCAACACCCATGTCATATGCTGCATACCTGGGATGCAAGCAGACAATTGCTTTGTTTTGTGGACGGGGGGAATATTTTCCACCACATATACGCCAATTCTTGTAAACACCTGAAGAACTTCAAATTTCAAAACCTCCAAATTTTCTAGAGTCGCTTTAATACATCCTAAAGACCCAGAACAAAAAGCGAAAGCGTCTAAACGAGCAGTAGGCAAATCGACGCTTGATAGCACGAACAGACTTTGGATTAGATGATTAAGATAAGAATACTGCTTGCCTTAGGGTCCATAACGGGCCTTCGAAAATTCGAGCATTGATGCCTTCCAGCATTATCCTGTACACGAATGTGTACGCATGTGTAGAGAATGACAATAATGAGAAGTTACAGTTGTACATGAATAAACACCAGCTTTAATTACAGTCAATATAGAGAATCCGCTCTGCAATCATTCAAATTTGCACTTTAGTGTGATCAATGGCGTGTACCTATCAAGACTCGATGAAAGGCCTTCGAGCCAACCGAGGATAACATCCGCAGAGAGCTGAGCTCCAAATTTTCGAATAAGGAGGCAAAAAGCTGCACTCCTGTAACCGAAATCTCAAGTGTGAATAAATAAGAATCTAATCTATGAACGAACTCGAGTATACGGAAGTAGATGTCTATATGTCCACATTGTAAAGATTGTCTACAAGGGTCTTGTGGTATGAAGAAAAGATAATTTGAGCAAAATTGGGAAATTTGAAAATTTGTCCACATGGTAACTGGGAAATCCATGTTAGAAACTGGCTTCATAAGCTACTGTAGAGAAGGAAAAAGATAAAACCAAATCCGCAGATGATGGAAATGTCTTAAATCATACCACAAGAACTTTCCATCCATAAGTCGATCTCTGATGACCGTACATATGTCTGTCTTTCTCCTCCTCTTTCCATCTCTGAGCTGCCTAGTCTGAGTGCTTATTATAGCCTGTTAATATACCAGGTCACAATAGTCGACGAGTAAGATTATAAGAGATCCAAGCAGTGATGCAGGCATCAACATTATGGAAATGGTATGTGTAGGTGTTGCCAGTCATAGCCTAAAGGTTTAAAAGTGTTACAAAGCCTTGCAAAGTGCAATACGAGGAGTCTAAAACCTCCGAAGCTCAATGGAAGCTGGATTAGCTGGTCTAACCTTATTACAAAGCTCTAAATTTATATCATCCCTTACCTCGTAGAGAACAGCTGAAGCAAGCTCTAGGAATGAACGTAGAGTTCTCGACACAGCACTTGGTTTTTCCTCTCTGACAACATCCAGCCTATGGAACAAACATACCGAGTGAGAGATCTCACATACACGACCAATTCTAACGAAGATTCAATTCCAGTTAAACAGGGAGACCACAGCTGAAAGTAAAAGTGCTACTAAAAAACGCTACATCAAACGAAGCCTTACCGGTAAAGAGCAGAGAGGGCTACACCAGATTGATCAAGTTCCTTTTCCACTAGTTCCAGTAAATTGGAGACTTCGTGAGACTCATCAGGATCTAGAATATATCGTAACTGCAATTGGATTCTAGCATACAGGACCAACCCATCCTGCAACGGCCAGGCAAAACAGTGAGAACTTGAGAACAGTGAGAACGAGGATCAATAGACATGTTAGAACAAAGTCATTGACTTGCATCGTCATGTACCTTCAGTTCTCTATCGCGGGTTGTCAACCATACACGGAACATGAATGTCTTTATACTTGCATGGATGTTCCCAGCAGCAGCACCGATATTCAGGCCATTCATAAGAAGGAAGGAGTTTAAGGACGCCAAGAGTTTTTTTGCTATTCTGCCTTCATCTCTGTGACAACCAATAGAACAGGTTGAGAGAACAAAGAGAAAATCGATAACAAAAAAGTGACAAACGATTATATACAAGCGACTCCTGCATGACAGGCATCTGAGTATGACACTTCAAACAGACATTGCTTTCAAGACAATAAACTAGGAAAAGGATCTCCATGTTATTGTAGGTTCGTTGCCACAACAAAGTCAAAAGACAAATTCAACCGAAAGATGTGTCATCCTCCTTGTATACAATGTAAGAAAGAACAGAAATGTTATTAGTACGAGATGGGATGTCGTTTCATGACAACTTTCAGCTTACCCGAGATGCATAAAAATCTCTATAAAATCATCAACGATGTTCACCAACAAAACATCAGGAAAATCTCCGGGTGGATGCTGAAGAAGGGAGTGCAAGCTTGAAGTGTTCCTAAAAGCCTCCTCTTTTGCTAAGGAGACTTCAGTAGTTATCGTTCGTGATATCTCTTTCGCCTTTTCCATGTAAAAGTGAAGAAGATCTGCTTGGACAACGTGGAATGTTGATTAGATCTTTCTAAATGGATCAGCATTACTAAGCATCTTCTTTAAAAGACTGCATTAATTGCAGATGTTTAAAATGGTTTCATCAATTACGGTCATCTGTTTAGGGCCTTTGAAGGCTTGCAAGAAGGGCAATGAAAGAGAAAACTACTTAGCTAGACTTACCAGAGTAGATCTTCTTGCCCATTCGCGTTCTGTACTCGAACACATGAAGAAGTTGGCAGAGAATATTGTTGTAGTCTGAAACATAGCTGGGAACGCGTTGCAATATTTCTAGCACATGCTGGAACAATCTCTTCACTTTCCGGAGAAGACTCAGGTTTTGACCTGTCGCATCATTTGAAAATTAGTGAAATGTGGATTCGTCAAAGCTACGAGATAAGATCTGCTCTATCAATTCTGCTGGAGTCTTTCATGAATATCAAGAGCTTTCTTACTCGAAGTACTCTGCACTTGGTGCCTCTCGCATGTCTTACCTGGACGACTGGTATCTTCTGCTTTCAAAACAAAGCTCCGCAAAGTCTTCGCTAACGCAGTTTTGGGTACCTTTCTTTTGCTAGCTGCCACCTCGTTCTCAATGCACAGGCATAAGGCGTGCAAAATTCCTGGCCATGTTGAGGCTGCAACACAAGTCCCACCAGATCAGCTATAAAAACGGCCAGGGAGTAAAACAATCGTTTTGCGGTCTGTGATGCGAAATTATCCCATTGCCGATAGTTTCCACAACCCAAAACCAATAGTGTCAATATAACTGTAAAAAGTTTTAAATGAGAAATAATGCTCTCAGATTGATTCGGAATGTGAATATGGCCGTCCAAGCTCCATTGTCACTCAGACACTACTACGGTATCGATGAGTTATGAGCCTTAAATTTTCGTCTTACCAATAGGAACTTTGGAGTTACAATTCATTCCGATTTGACGGACAACCCTTTGATATCACAGAAGTTCAAAATAAGACGAAATATTGCCTCCGGGCAGGCAATTACAAATTTCGGATTAATCTTTTAAGGACAAAATTGTTCTTTGACAGCGTACATGAATCAGTGATTTCAACAGATTGCAACACGATGTAAAAAGCCAATCCGATTCAAAATTCCGGCTGTCAATCGACATTTGCAGCAGATGCATTCGCTGCCTTCCATCCGCGTGCGATGTTTGAAAAACAGGCTTTGACTGGAGAAGAATTAACAAGCACTTCTAGATTAAATCAGACTGCTAGCTACTATGTGACTTTAAACTTCTCCAGATTTCAATGAGGCCATGTTCTTGGAATACCGACATTAGTCAAGCTTCTGGACGCGAATTTCAGGAGATAGTGATAAAATTCAGCTCTGGGCTCTTTTATTCTCTTCGCTTTCAGAGTTCAAGAGGATTTGAGAATCTCTCCCAGACCACGAGAGATCAAAGTGGGCAGATGCACGGCTCGCAAAACCGGCAGTGATCGGATTGACAGAGCTGTGTCCAGCCGTTCATGCATTCCAGAGGTGATGTGTTCTGCATCCAGCGGTTCAATTAGCCTTTTGATTTGACACTCACAGCGTATTCGTCCATGTTGATCTAAGCGCGCAGTTTCTTCATCGAGCAGGGTCCACAAGCTCGTCTCTCCAGTAGAATGCAAATAGCTTTGAAGAATCTTCAAACCATCCTGGAATTCGACGCCAGCTTATCAAGTTAGGTGCAAATTTTTCACATTTGATCAACCTCACAACTTCAAATTTTACAGGTAACTAACCTCTCGAACTTTTGCTTTGTCTGAAACAAGCTTGTTATTCAGCTCCTCCACATCGTGTACTGAAACTCCAAACATTGCAGGCAGAGAAATGTGCACTCGGAAGACATGAGGCACACTTCGGGCACAAGTGCCTTCCTGCCCTTCACAATTTCGCTCAAGATTCTCCCCGGACGCATCCAAAAACCGAATCGCTCAACGTGACACTTCCACTAAACCCAGCGAGACGAGAGCAAAATCCGACACCGTGGGCCCAGTCCGCCACGCGAATTTTCCACCACCAAATGGCGCCAATTAGTTTTACAGTTTGATTCTCTTCTTCGCTCCGCTCGTCTATAATACAAATTGCTTTTTTGCGTCCGCGCAAGGAGCCAAGTCTGCAGTCAAGGCCCGCGCCCACATCCAAGCTCGCAAGTCTAAACCCCAAGCGCACGACCGCATTCGAATTAAAGTCCCGGTCCCATAAACCCGAGGCGAGTTAGCATTGCGCTGCACAGCGTTTCGATTGTGGTCCTATTGCAGCGCCAGGACCGTCGTTTGCGACCGAAACCTTGGACTGGGTTTGAGGTGGAGGGTCCCACCACGCGCTGCGTCGCCTTTCGTCGCCGGACGCCAGGAATGGAGGCTGGCCTAGACGAGGTGTGCCGCAGGAGTAGGAGGGGCAGCATCGGCAGGGACTGTAAGAAACGGACAGACAGCGACTGGGGGATTCTTTTGACAAGGGCGATGGATGGATGCTCTGTCCGTATTGATGATTCGAATTTCGAACTCTCGGCGTGTGGAAAGTACACGAAAAGTCTCTGGGCGTTCTTATAATACAGCCCGCGCCTGTCAACTCCTCTTTGACCCCATTACTGGAACGTCAGCGTCGCCGACTGAAGGAACGACGTCGCCCGCTATCGTCATCCAGTTCGATAGTGCGGCAAATGAGAGAGTTTCTCCGGGCCGACAGCCTCCATGAGTGTACCGCTGGGTCTCGCAGTTCAGCCTTCATTGGGAAGGCAAAGATCCTGCGCGTCCATCAACATGTACATCACCAGCAGACGGCATCCCAGGATAACTACTCTTGGTCCCAAAAGTAGAACAAACAATGAGATCAGATTATGACAAATCGTTACCCAACAATTTTATGATTGTAGAGTTATAATTATCATAAATCTATCATTTTCGATAGATTTCTTCTTATTCATACAGTTCATTACTTAAATTTTCAATGTGTAAAAAAATTATTATGAGTTATATTCCAGAAACCATATCTTAATTAAAAATAATCTACCTTCAGCATATATTATGATTGAAGTCAAATATATTACTAAGTAGATTTTTTAGATATCATACGCAATTTAGGTTTTTAATCAGTATTTTAAATTTAAATTCTTTTATAAATCTCAAATTTTCACTTTAGAAATTTTTATTAAATTCAATTCTGCATAAAAAATTATAATTATATATTCAAATAACTTCGAAGAGAACACTTCATATGGAACTATGAGTTTAAAAATTCTCGATTTTTCATATACGAGGTAAATTGCTTGTGTTTTTTTAGAAACTTAAATATGTATGTATCTCAAGACTCATAAGCTAAACATAATGTAGCATCTTTTAGTTTATGTTATTTTCTTCTTTGATTAAGTATTGAAATGTAAATTTTTTTATAAAAATTATAGATATGTATGGAAAATAAATTATTTAAAAATACCTCTTTGAAGATAAAAGAAAGTGCTAAGTTATTAAAAAATTCACAATAATTATTTTCTTTGCATTTTTTTTCATCTAATTGCAAAAAAAAATGTGAATCGTCATGAATCATCATATGTTCAAGCACTTATTGAAAAATACTTGCCAAAATTTAAATTTTCGGGTACAAAGTTTATTTCTTGATAAAAATACATGTTGGGAACATTCATATATATGTATGTGTGTGTGAAGTTCATCCTAATTACAAAAATAACAAAGAATTAATAAAAATTTCAATCATTTTTAAGCTTGTAGAGTTAAGCATATAACAATTTAAATATCAAATAAATTATTCATAAAATTATTTGAATATTATCAACATCCTCGTTTTTTTCATTGACTACAATTTTGCATAAGAACGTGATAATATTGATATTTACATAAATAAAACTGATGCAACTCACATTTCTACGATTATAATTTCTTTTACTTCAACAAGTATCTAGATCAAAGTTTCCAACAATGTTGAAATTATTTACCACCGGAATTTCTAAGTTTCTGTATATGATTATGATTCTGTCTAAATCTAAATCCACTGCATTGAAATTTTGAAAATTAATTTAAACTTTTATCTTCATGCTGAGTATATGAAGAGTTAATGGTAAATTCATTTTCCTGTTTTAAATTATTTGGCACGTAAGAACCTATATTGTGAATGAATTTTAATTATCGCAATCGTAAGATTTATGAATGAAAATGTGTGGCTAAAAATAACGTGAATATATATCTACTAATTATGAAAATGAGGATATTGAGTTTACACTAGGACTCACATTTTTTTCTCTTGACATATATTCATATTCATGCAAGTGGTTAAACTACAAAATATAAGTATTATCCAACACTGGATGAATGTATTTAAATCAACTTATTTTGAACGCACTTTATTTGAACAAGAAGTACTTCCTTACCATTTCTCAGCCGTAAGCAAATGATATAGCTGTGCAAAAATCAATAATTCACTTTTAAAAGAATAAAAATGAACCCAATTGTGTACAGTAGATATAACTTCCATACAATAATATTTGTTTGAAATGGTGTGATCTATTAATTTTGATTTATGAGAGATGGTTATAAATTACTTTATGATAATCAATCTAAGGATTGAATCCTTATTCATTATTTCAATTTTCAAAGAATATTTAATTGGTGCTGAAACTTTATAAAGACGATTCATTCCATTACTGACGAGAAACTTACCAAATTCTCCTTCATACTCGTCTACTGCTGTATAGATAGAAGAAGCTCGTACACAATCATTAATTTTGAAATAAGTTTTATGTAAGTTTATAACCCTTCATTTTCACTCTAATTTTTTAATCTGCAAATATTTTTGAAAATATTTTTGCCAACTTTTATAACCTAAATCTATTTTGCCTCCTTTGCAAATTACGAAGAGAATACGTGATATAAATAAATAAATAAATAAATTTTATGGGAATTATAATGATAATAGAGAACAAGTAACACAATTCTGCAGAATTAATTCTCTCATCGTTTTGGTTGCGAATAATGCACGGAGGAATATTTTGATCAAATTGTTGAGCTGAATCTCAATAATCGATATCTTATTAGAAATACATGAACTGGCTCGACGTTGATGGTAAAAAATTCCGGAGTGCCCAACCCAGGAAAGATGGAGCTGGAGCATCAGGCTTGGCCACGGTCCGGTTAACGGGTTCAGAAAAAAAGTGGACCGGTTAACCGGTCCCAGAGAAAATTTGGGATCTGTTAACCGCCGGTCCGGACCGGATTGTGGCCAAGAAATGGCCAAACTACATTACATTAGGGTGACGAATTTTCTCTGGGACTGGTTAACCGGTCCAGAAAAAATCGGGACGGGTTAAGCGGTCCCGACAGTTAACCGGTTAACCGGTTAACCGCCAGTCCGGACCGAACCGTGGCCAAGCCTACGGAGCATAACGCTGAAGTTTGGTAACTCTAGAGATCCACTTGCCGGATGTACATGACTTCCGCTCTGAGTACACAACACTCCGAGTCCATGGATTACAGTTGCCGACGTCGTGCAATCAGTAAACGTCTAGATTTCATCTCTTCTTTCAGAAATCATGACATTGGTCGATGATTTCCCGAGCTCAAGCCGGAACAGATAAATCTTACAATGCTGAAACCAATATGTTTCACGTCCTTCCGTCCGAGTAATTTTAATTGGACTCGGCGCCGACATCTCATGCCGGGGCTGGATTGCTGCAGAATGCTGCAAAGGGCTTTTGTATCAAAGCCTCGTGACGCGAGCAGACAAATTCTCGTCGGCAGTCGACTCCGGGTATCGTGTTCGACCTCAACCGAGCATCCAGATAAAGCCCGGGGAGGTTTACCTCGGTTTCATGTAGACGAGATTCCCAAGTGCGAGGGGGTGGTCGCAAAATTGGACGACGATGAATTTTGGCACATGACGAAAGTTTTGAGATTGAAGGTGAACGACAGAGTGGAGCTGTTTGATGGGAAAGGAGGAATCGTAGTCGGGCGTTTGGTGAATGTAAACCGTCATAATGCCGAAGTTGCGGCAATCGAGGAACCTCAAATCATGGCCCCCGCAGGACCAAACTGGCATGTTGCTGCTGCTTTTTCCACTCTGAAAGGAGGGCGGGGCGAATGGCTCGTGGAGAAATGTACGGAGCTCGGAGCTAGGACTCTCACTCCTTTGTTGACCGCGAGGTCGTCTGTCAAGTCGTCGGGGCGCTCGGACAGGTGGGAGAGGATTGCCATGGCTGCGACCAAACAGTCTCAAAGACTTCATTCGATGGAGATCAAACGTCCGGCTTCCTTACAAGAGCTTTTGCCTCAAGTTGCCCACGTAGATGTAGCTCTCGTTGCGGCCGCATATGCTCCTCCTCTTTATAAATCGCTCGCACTGCTACCCAGTACGCCCATGAATGGAATTCTTTTTATCGGGCCCGAAGGAGATTTCACTCCCGAGGAGGTCGAGCTTTTGATCCAGGTCGGCACTGTACCTGTTGGTTTAGGACCACGACGGTTGAGAGTAGAAACCGCAGCTGTGGCTCTGCTCGCCGGGGTTATGCTAATGGGTGACGTAGTTAATCCCATCTCGAGACATTCAGGAACTATTTCCTTGGCTCACGCTGAGTGAGATGGCTCAGTGTTGTGGAATTCTTTCCAGTCCTTGTTGACGAGGATTCGATGTGCTGGAATCTAGACCGGAGAGTTGGTCACTGTCGTGAGCTACTTCATTACAGTCTCCAGGTAGGAGTTTCAGCACCGGGTACATGTATTCACATACTGTGAATTCTTGACGTCAAAGGTGAAGGTGCGACAAGTCTTTTGCTATAGATTGTTTAGAAATCCTTCAGTACTCAGGTCAATCAGTCTGGAATGTGAATCCGGGCACCCGAAGCTGAAGGTACAACCTGAAGACTATAGTATGGCGATTGCGTTCCGTATCCAGCTACTGTTCATTCTCCATTTTTTCAGCTTCCGAATGCCACAGGAGATTCCTGATTGCCAACGTACTTAAAGGTAGGTTCAGTTCAGTCGATTGGAAGATTCCGAAGAAAGATTGTGGCAGTCAGTTTACATTGTCTTCGAGAAGCAAATGTTTCTGAAGGGATACATAGCCGTCGATGACTTTTGCTTGTTGTACAGCTCGCAGGAAACAATTGTAGTGGCCCTAACATGTTCATTTTTGGTCTGTGTTCCTGTCTGTAATTGTAGCATCATTGAAAGTAAAGCCCACTACCCAGTTTCAAAACCCTTGAAACTGAAAGGTAATCAATTATTCTCTATAAAACACGCTGTTTCCTAATCAAATGTGAAGCAGTTTACATGGAAGCAGTTCCGTGAGTGACATTCCAAGAGATCTACTCAACCCCGAGGCGAGGTGGTGTGTTGAGCGTTGTAGCTTGATACTCAGCCATGTTCAACGAGAAGATCTGTTTTTAATCCCCTTATTGGAGCAAGTCAGCAGGTTTGGCGCTCTTTCTTCATGCTGTGCAGTGCTCTTATTTGACACTAACCACCCAGTAGGCTATAGGATATTTGTTTAGTCTGATCTTACAGATTTCAAGAGGGTAGGGTTTGCGATCCTGAACTAAAAAGCTACAAATACTTCTGCATTAAAATTCTAGGGATCTCGTCAAGCAGAAGAACAGATCTAAGAAAGGCAATACACATTGACATCAGCCGATAAGTTCCAGGTCACCATAATGAGGATTTCAGCACGGCAGAGCCATATGGTTTTTAAGTTCTTAGTTACCTTTTATGTCAAGATCTGAAATCCACAACACGGAATATATATTCAATGCTGCTTCTACTAATTTCGTAATTGACATCAAAGAGTAGTACTACCAAATAGTAGTACTACTACGTGAAAGTTCATATTTTTTGAAACTTGGTCTCGGCCAACTACTTGCACCTAAGTGACGAAATTTCTTGCCATTGCGTGTTTTTCGAACCATTGGCTCAAGTTCTTGTACCTGAAGGTCGTCTCACAACCTCTCCCTTTCGATCAACTCAGCACAACCGAAGTTATTTCGTTTACAATAATTTTGGTACCATCATGTATTGTGCATGCTTTTTCTTCGTACATTACTGCAGAATATGGTGGCTCTAACGATGAAAACACAAGATAGCCTACTTTCCTGTTGAATATTTTTTAATTCCCAGGACGGATTTTACTTAGAAAGTACAGACTCTCAAGCAAGATTTCACAAAAGTTTATTGATGAAGATCTGAACATTTCTTTGACAAATTTTTTTTTCTTCCAAGATCAACATAATGCCAACATCATAATCAGTTTCAATATCATGAACTTAAAAAATGAATAATTCATAAATCATAATAGTTAAACTTACCCAATTGAATGATATCATAGTAAATAATTTTCATTAATGTATATTGTTTAGTGAAATAACTTGAAACTTTCCAACAATAATTTTTATTTGAACTTTTGCTCTTCAATAATTTGCTCAAATTCCATGTATGACAAAAATATATACATTATGGAAAACTTTGAATCTACATGAGTGAAAATTTATTCTTGTTAGTACAAAAAGCTTGAAAAATTTTCCACTTTACATCATTTGGAATCATCAACGAAACAACTCTAATGGTAATAAAAAATACACGCTAATGAGTTCCATTATCTATAATACTTCATATCATTAACATTTCCAACAAAATAATAATTTTTTCATGAAACTTCTATGTTGAAAGTATTTAACTTAGTTGTAAAAAGTTAAGTTGTACAATCAAAATTTCTAAACCTACTATAATGAGGTCTTTGTTTATGATTCATTTCAATATGTGTGAATAAGTTTATTGCATTAGAATGAAAAAAATAAAATTTATACACTACAGTTTTGACAACTTTTGTTTAAAATTTATATGAAAAAATTAATTAGATGCATGTGATTTTATTTTTTTCAATATTGTGAATTGATTCTTCAAAGCACAACATTATGTTTCATAAAATAGATCAAATTGAGATGATTAATATTGCCATCTTCTTTATAGTAACCTCCAACCTACTTGAAACTATACATCTGACATTATTTTTGCGTAGATATATCACTTTGTATCCAATTTGAGTTTCAACATGAATTAAAATTAAATTATTTTTTTCAAATTCTAAAATTTTTAAAAATTGTCTAGACATCAAAATTTCATGTGAAAAAATAAATTCATACAAATATTGATTAATAATTGATCAATAATACATAATGCAATTGCCAAAAAAAAAGTTTCAAATCATTCTTTTAGAAGATAATAACTATATATTCAAATAAATCTTTGAAAATCTGTGTTCAAAGCAAGAAAAATTACTATGATACTTGTCCAACACACAATATTTACAAAACTTTGAGTTAATTTTAACTATGCTATGTTATGATTGAAGAGGGATGATAGTATTTTTTATCTTATCAAGTATAAAATATAATTTAAATTAATATATGTTAATTTTTTTAAAAAAATTAGCATTGATAAATAGATTATATTTTTAATTGTTAGAATACACATTATTTCCTATTACTTCGAATTAGAATTGTAGATTATTGTCTTAGTTGTTAGAATTGAGATGTAGAGATTACTGTTTCCCTAATACTTAGTATGGATAACACCAAGGGATGCAACCCTTGAATGAGAATGTCCCATGACAAGGATGTGTCACACTATAAGGAACATATTCTTCCAGGGAGGTGCGATCCGTGTGGCTCTCGCAACCTTTGGTTCCATTCGGATTGGGTACTTAAATCCAATCCGGGAAACCTGTGTTCATCCATCAATCAAGCTTCAACACTTCATCAACTGTGCATGATCTCTCACTCTCAATTGCTCATATGCTCTCATATGATATCAGAGCAGGTTCCATTCACCTTCAACAATGCTTGAATCCAAACAAGCCAGTATGACGCTTTTCGCTTTGAACCAACTCTGTGACACTTGAGAAAGCAATTATCAGAGATCAAGTATACCCACCAGGCTCCAAAGTTCGGCTCCAAATTTGACCGATTGAACTTGATTATCACCTATAAGTGCTAATCTAAAGCATTGTGGAGCCCAAATTTCAAAAATTTTTAAAAATTTTGAGCAAAATTTTAAATTTTCCTGCGATTGAAACACAAAGTTTCACAAAATTCCACAAAAATTTACATTTCGCAAAAATTTCTGAATGTTTGGTCAATATACTGCACCACATCGTCAAGAAGGTGAAAACAAACAGTCGTTGCGAGGAAGATGACTACTCTAGGACTTTTTATTGTAACACTAGGGTTTAGAGAGAAGTTCACTCGAAGATAGAAACGTAAACTCTGAAGATGAGAGATACCAACAATGGTTCTCCTCTCCCTTATGTAGCTCTCACCAACAAGTACAAGGTGATAAGATCTAATCCCCACCATCCATACCACTCCTAGTGGATGGATGACGTGGCGGATAACCCTAACAAGCCCACGGATCGCTGACGTGGCGCACCCAACTAACACACTAACTAACACACTCAATTCTTACCTACAAGCACACGGATTGCTGACGTGGCACTGTCAACTAACACATCCACTCTGTACCTACCAAGTGCGCGGATCGCTGACGTGGCAGCTATGACTAGTGCACACTAAAGTATCTACATCAATATTCAGAGTAACCTCTACTTTAGTTCTAACTAACTAAAGATGGTTACAAACCTCCCTCCTTTTAAGATGCAACGTCCTCGTTGCACATACGTTCAAACTCCTGAACTATCAAAGGTGCATTTGCTAAATTTTTAGCTGGTTCCCAAGTTGATTCATACGATGGATAGCCTTTCCATTGAATCAAATACTCTACTTTGGGATATTTATGACCTCGAATACGTTTCTTGAGTATCTTTTCTACCTCAAACTCCTCATGATCTGCTATCAAGGTTGGAAGAGGAGGTGGTGCTGGTTGGTTGGTGAATTGTTTTGGTCGTGGTACATGTTTTCGCAATCGTGACACATGAAATACTGGATGTATTTTCATATGTGACGGAAGTTCCAACTTGTATGACACTTCACCAACACGCTTCAAAACCAAAAATGGACCAATGAACCTAGGGTTTAACTTTGGTGTTCCTACAAGAGACAAATTCGTTGTAGATAACCAAACATGATCTCCAACCTCAAAAATCATTTCTCTACGATGAGCATCGGCATGCTGCTTTTGCCGATTTTGAGCTATCACCAACTTCTCCTTGGCCTGATGTAGTCCTCGATGAATATGCTCCACGAATTCGTTGACTGCTGCAACTTTGGTCGAAAACTCCTCTCCTTTCGGAAGTCTCATCAAACTTGAAGGAGTTATCGGATGAGCTCCATACATAAGAAAAAATGGAGACACTTTTGTGGATGCATTAACAGAATTGTTATATGCAAATTCCACAAGTGGCAAAAGGTTGTCCCACTCTTCTTGCTCTTCTAATGTGAATGCTCGTAGCATATCCTCTATGGTTCTATTTGCCCTCTCAGTTTGTCCATCAGTTTGAGGGTGATAGGCCGTTGACATTACTAGTTTTGCTTTGAAAAAACTAAACAAAGTTTTCCAAAATAAACTAGTGAAGTGAGTACCTCTATCCGTGATTAACACTTTGCTTAAGCCATGATTCACAAAAACTGCATCTAGATATAATTGAGCTAGTTGTGGAGCTGTTACTGTTTTTGTGGTTGGCCTGATGTGAATCATCTTGCTCAATTTGTCCACAAAAACCACCACTGAATCATGTCCTAACGAAGTCCTTGGTAACTCACATACAAGATCCATGGTGACATGTTCCCACCGCTGTTCGGGAATAGGAAGAGGTTGTAATAAACCCGCTGGTTTTTGATTACTTGCCTTGTTTTGTTGACAAGCAACACAACTTCGAACGTAAGACTCCACATCCTCACGTATTTTGGGCCAATAGTACACTCGTTGTATACTCTCCACGGTTTTCTCCACTCCCACATGACCTGCAATGGCTGTATCATGACTTTCTGCCAAAATCATTGTGCGCAAATCGTGATCTTGTGAAATCCATATACGCTGATTGTAAAACGCCAAACCTCAAGATTTCTTTGCCTTTCCAGTTTGTAGTGCTCGAGTGATCTCTTCATCCTCCTTTGTGGCTTGTGACATCTTGCTCCACCAATCCGCCTGAATTTTCACTTCTGCAACATGATTCAAACAAGGCATGCGTGTGAGAGCATCTGCAAGTTGCTTCTTTCCCTCCACGTACACAATCTTCATGTTGAAGCGTTGACGCCACTCTGCCCATCGAATTTGTCGTTTGGA